TTTTTTTTTTTTTTTTTTTTTTTTTTTTTTTTTTTTTTTTTTTTTTTTTTATGAAGACGATACCGTCACGAATAGTGAATGTTGTTGGAAACCTTGGTTTTGCAACTCATTAGCCTTCTGAGTTATACTCATATAATCAATTAACAGAGAATTGATATGTCTCTGCAATGAACTGCAGGTTATAGGAGATGTTGCCCTTCAACTTCATGCTGAATCTCCCTTGACAGGGATAGAGTTTGCCAATTAATCCGTTCGACCTGGACAGCCAGTTTAGAATAAAAAAAAACGCTCGTCCCTCAGAATTATTGTCTTCTAATTACAAAACTAATAAAATGATCTGAAACTCTATTCCCATTAAGTTATCAAATATGTTGTTTATGTACATATACGGTGTGAATGTTTGTTGAATCCACCACACCTAAATGGAGGTGAGAGTTCGCTTATTTATAATCATTTACGGAATACAGAAATATGGTAAATTACAAATAATATGGATATTTATAATCATTTACAGAATACAGAAATATGGTAAATTACAAATAATATGGATATTTATAATCATTTACCGAATACAGAAATATAGTAAATTACGAATAATATGGAAATAGTAATAAAAAGAAAGAATAATAAATGAATACAATATATTTGCCTTTAATAAGAGGGCAAATATGGTAACCCGTAATGTAAGGCAAATATAGATATTTGTCTTATAATGAACGGTCAACTATCCTTAACACCCCCGCAAGCTGAGCGTCGGATTTGAACGAACGTGAAGCTTGGATCTGAAAAATTCAAAGAGAGGTCGAAAAATACTTTTTGTGAAGATGTCAGCAACTTAGAGATGAGAGGGTACATATTGTGTGCGAAGTTTGCCAGCGATAAAAGTTCTCGAAGGAAATGATAATCTAGTTCAACATGTTTGGCCCGCTTGGGAGAAACGGGATTAGAGCTAAAAAAAATAGCACTTTTGTTGTCACATAAGAGTAAGGGCTGCCGTGAAATAGGGACCTTGAGGTCATGCAAAAGATGCGTAACCCAAAGAAGTTCAGCAGCAGTTGTGGCAAGAGCACGATACTCAGATTCACAGCTGGAGCGTGAGACAGTAGGTTGCTTTTTGGCACTCCAAGAAACGAGATTGTTACCAAGATAAATAGAATAGCCGCATGTAGAACGACGAGTATCGGGACAACCAGCCCAATCAGCATCCGAATAAGCGACTAGCGTACTAGGAACAGTGGATGGACGAAAGGTAAGACCAAAGTGGAGTGTTCCTTTGACATAGCGAAGAATACGTTTGACAGCAAGAAAGTGATCTGCAGTAGGGGCATGCAAGAATTGACTGACAGAATTGACAGCATAGGCAATATCTGGACGCGTAATAGTCAAGTACTGAAGGGCGCCAACAAGAGATCTGTAGAGAGTAGGATCAGAGAAAGGAGGACCATCAGCAATCAGGTGTTGAGAAACAACCATGGAAGTGTGAACTGGTTTGCTATCGAGCAACTGAGCACGAGTAAGAATATCTCGAGCATATTTTAACTGACTAATAAAGAGACCATCAGGAGTGGGTGAAGCTTCAAGACCAAGAAAGTAACTGAGAGAACCCAAATCTTTGGTAGCAAACTCATAATGAAGCTTGCAAGTAAAGTTGTCAATAAGAGATGAGTTGTTGTAGGTAATAATAATGTCATCAACATAAAGAAGCAAATAGATAAGGTTAGATTGCTGATAAAAGACAAAAAGGGACGTGTTAGCGCGACTGCAAGAAAACCCAAGTGTGAGAAGAAATGAGCTAAAACGCTGAAACCAAGCACGAGGAGCTTGCTTTAAGCCATAGAGGGCTTTCTTTAATAGACAAACGTGAGTGGGAAATCGAGGATCAATATACCTAGGAGGTTGTTCCATATGAACACGTTCAATAAGAGTTTCATTGAGAAAAGCATTCTTGACATCAAGTTGTCGAAGAGGCCATTTATTTGTGACTGCAATAGAAAGCATAACACGGACAGTGGTAGCTTTGACAACCGGACTGAAAGTGTCAGTGTAGTCAAGACCAGGAACCTGAGTATAACCTATGGCAACAAGACGAGCCTTCAAACGCTTGACGGATCCATCAGGCAAATATTTAATACAAAACACCCATTTAGAGCCCACAATGTTGGTATTGGCAGGACGAGGAACCAAAGTCCAAGTATCATTTTGTTGTAACGCTCGAATTTCTTCATCCATGATAGCCACCCAAGCAGGATTCTTAGCCGCAGATTTGAATTCTTTTGGCTCAGTGGATGCAAGAAGAGCAGAAAGAAGTCCAGATGAGCCCAAAATACCAAGATTTGCTGGATGACAAGTCTTGAATATACCAGCTTTGGCTCGTGTGATCATAGGATGAGTGCCCAAAGAAGAGAAATCAACAGGAGGTTCAATAGAGGTCGAATTAGAAGTCGAGGGTGGCAAAGTGGAACCTGCAAGAGAAGTATCAACCTGCATAGACTCATCTACAAGGTCAGAACAAATATCACACGAGGATGAACTGGATCGAGGAATGTGCGGTGATGAAGTGGTAGGGGGGAATGAATCAATATGATGAAGATGTGGTTCCAAGAAATTTGAAATAGGAATAGAGGAAAGAGGTTGGGCCTGGGAGCTAGGGATAGTAGAAAAGTGAGTTTCATCAAATTGAGCATGGCAGGTGATATATAGCTTAGTGGTGGCGGGATCAAGACAACGGAACCCTTTATGAGCAGGACTATAACCCAAAAAAATACAAGGAATGCTGCGGGGAGAAAGCTTGTTAGGCATATAATCACGCAAATAAGGATAAACACGACAACCAAAGGGATGAAAATTATCATAATGTGGAGTGTAGCCATAAAGGAGTTCAAAGGGTGACTTACCTCCAAGAAGTAGAGTAGCCAACCGGTTGATAATATAAGCCACAGTGTTGAAGGCGTCAACCCAAAACCGAGGAGAAAGATGAGAGTGAAAGAGAAGGGCCAAGCCAGTCTCAGTCACATGACGATGTTTTCTCTCAGCACGACCATTTTGAGCAGGTGTATATGGACAACAGAGTTGATGGTGGATGCCAGAATTACGTAAATGAGTTTTGAAACAAGTACTAGTAAATTCGGTACCACCATCGCTTTGAAATACCTTGATACGAGAAGAATATTAATTTTCCACAAATTTTTGAAATTGAAGAAAAATATCAAAAAAATCATATTTAAATTTTAAAGGGTAAAACTATGTGAATCGAGAATAATCATCAATAAAAATAACATAATAAAGAAAACCTGAATTTGATTTGACGGGAGAAGGATCCCAAAGATCACAATGAATAAGATCTAACACATGAGACGACCTACGTTCATTGCGGGAATAAGGCAATCGATGACTTTTCGCAAGCTGACAAGTATTACATAATAATGGAGAAGGCAATAAAGACGTAAAAGAAAGATGACCTTTTCTATTTAAAAAAGAAATAACAGAATGATTCACATGACCTAGACGAGCATGCCATAAATCATATGAAGCACGTAAAGATTTGTTTCTAAGGGCTGAAATAAAAGCAGAGTTGCCGCGCTCCATCACATATAGCCCTTCATCTCTTTTACTGGTTGCCACCACCCTTCCTGTTTGACAATTCTGGATAGTAATAAGATTATAAGATTATTAGTAAATGTAACGGAGAGAGGAAAGTTAGACGTTAATTTACTTATGGAAAGAAGATTTTTAGTGAGGTGAGGGACAACCAAGACATCTAATAAGTGAATATTTGGAACAGGAGAAAGAGTACCGGTGTGGGTAATGGGTAGGGATGCACCGTTTTCTACGATCACAGAGTCCTTACCCGTGTAATTTTTAGACTGATCCAGAATAGATGGGTCGGCAGTCATATGGGCTGAAGCTCCAGTGTCCAGAAACCAATCAGCAGCATCGGGTCCAGCAATAGAACATGACGTGTTAAAGGCTTCAGCAAGATGAGCATGAGAAAAATCAGGTCGAACATACCGTTGGTTGTAGCGGTCAGCATATTTGGCAGTGAGGTGGTCGACGATCCTGACTTGAGTGGGTTCGTCTTCGACTAGAAGAGTTGTTTTTGTGAGAATAAGAACGACCTTGCTGGTTGGTAAATGAAGCAGGGTGGCTTCCATGAGTGCGACCACGATTAGTGGCTGTGAATGTTGTAGGAGTGGAGTCAGAGGACTTGATAAGCGCCTACAATGCTGGAATTTGCAAAGCTAGAGGTCCTTCTAGAATCCTTGCAAAACGCTCACAGAGGAAGCTAACTTAACGGATTGATTCCAACCAAGAGCTGGTTAGAAGATGAATGACTCTTAGATCGAACTTGGAATCTATGATGGTCACTCTTAGATACCAAGACAATTCACTCCAGAATTAGCTTGATCAAAACTAATTCAATGAATCGGTTTAAACATCAAACCTAAAGCAAGATTTGAAAAAGAATAACACCAAAAGGGTATCAAGAAAACACAAGGGTTTTTTCTGTATTCAACTAAAAGTCCCTCAAACATGAGTATTACATGCCTTTAAATAGGTCTAAAAGGTAACCCTAACATAATATGGTTCAGCCACCAATCACTAATAAATGCTATTAAATACAAATTGAAGAATATAAGGCAATTCATACAAACTATTAATAAATGCTATTAAATATAAAAGGAAGCAAATAAAGCATTAATAATTTCCTTAATTGGTAATTCAACTACCAAACGCAAGTCTTCTAATTATTTTCCAATATCAGCCACTCCATTATCTTCTTGATTTGATAGGCGAATGCTATAAAGATTTTTGGGCACAAAAGTCCTTGTTTCAACCGGTACACTAGCTAGCTTTTGAAGATGCAATGTATAGGCCTCTTGAATCTTCTTAACCTTGCTTCTTGTAATCGGTCCTTCGGGTACATGCACGTGATCAGTTGTTGGATTCATATCATCCCCCCTTTCTTTAAAAGGATTTGTCCTCAAATCAAATTCATCGTTCTTTCCGGACAAGAACTGAATTTTTTTTTTTTCTCACTTTTTTTTCTCACCTTTACCTTAGTTTCTTCTCTCCACTGTTGTTCTTCAGATTCTGTTCTTTTTTTCTCTAATTTCAATTGGTCACAATGTACTTCATATGGAGACAATGGAAGTAAAGTAAATTTCTTCCCACACAAAGTAAAAGTATACTTGTTCATGAAACCATCAAATGTTACCTTTCTATCATATTGCCAAGGTCGGCCGATAAAGATGTCCCCCGCATGCATTGGTACGACATCATAAAGAACTTCATCTTTATATCTTCCAAGAGTAAAAGAAATAAGAGCTTGGGAATTCACCTTAATTTCTTCTTTGTTTGTTAACCAATGAAGTTTGTATGGTTTT